TCCACCGTGTGAATCCTGCTATCATGCAGATCGCAGGACTTCGTACCACTACTTGACCACTTACATCAGTATGGCATTCTGTCTGCAATCCAAGAAAAAGGTTGGTCTGAGCTCATCATGACCACCAACTTCGTTGAGCACAAATGCTTTCTCATAGCTTCGTGACGGCTCAGAAATCCCAATCTTAGGATTCGGTGTGTCGGATTAGTTTACCTCTAGTCGGATTTGATCAGCTGATGTTCTGCAGGAACCTACGAGCTCGAAGGCTCATCTGTCGTGAAACCTTTGACGTGGGCATTGGAGGTGAGCAATTGGTATCTTCAGACTCGCAGGTTATGCTAATGTTAGCTAGGCTGGATATCGACACATAGTAAAACTTCCAGAGAGCCACAGTCTAACAGATCCGCTCACATTTCCCTCTAGGACGGTGCTATTTGGTACTACAACGAGAAGGAGTGCGGACAAGCTATTCACGCATGGCTTGCCAAGACAGGCACCCCACGATCAGAGATATACTGGACGACTAAACTCAAAGACAACATTTCTTACGATGCCACCATGAAAGCCATCGACAGATCGCTGAAGGCAGTTGGATTCGATTACATTGATCTTTATCTCCTACATTCTGCAATTGGCGGACCGGAGAAAAGGCGAGAGTCCTGGCGTGCCGTGTGCGACGCAAAGAAACAGGGCAAAGTGAAGAGTATCGGTGTCAGCAACTTTGGTGTCAAGCATTTAGAGGAGATGCTCGAACAAGACGTCGAGCTTCCTGTCATTAACCAGGTGAGATTAACGCTCTAGCTTTTGTTTGTGGTTATGGCTGAAGACTGGCCAATCGCTCGTACATAGGTTGACTTGCACCCGTTCATGACCAGGACGGAGATCGTGGCAATGTGCGAGAAGCATGATATTGCGCTTGAAGCGTGGGCCCCGCTAGTTCGTGGTCTGCGCTTCCGTCATCCGTCAATCGTCGGTCTAGCGGAAAAGTATGGTAAAACGCCTGCGCAAATTCTCTTGAGGTATTCGATACAAAAGGCAAAATGCATTCGCTATAGTTGTTCAACATAGATAAACTGACGTACCTTTCAGGGCTACATTCCTATTCCCAAGTCAGCCTCACAAGAGCGAATCACATCTAACACCCATATCTATGACTTTGAGCTCTCTGAAGAGGAAATGACACGTCTGCTCAGCCTAGATGAAGGTACGTTTCTGTCGTATGTGAACGAGCTTGTCTTACGACTGTCTGTGCCCTCAGCCCTTGTCACCGATTGGGAGGTAACGACGTGTCCATAAAATTACATATACAATTGGGTTCCTCGCCGACTGGAGATATGGCTTATGGCTATACATAACAATACAGGGAGTCTTGTAGCGGTCTGCGCAGTCGCCATCAGTATTCTCTATTTAGGGTCCAGCTCCCATCCGAAAGTACTCTCGCACTCCTCCAATCGTCCGCACACTTTCTTGACCTTCTCATCATCCACGTTTGCAACAGAAAACCTGATCCATCTCCCCATCTCGCCCTCAGCCCGACCTTCTACTCCGGGACCAAAAAAACCTGCTGGTAGAGAAATGACACCGATTTCCTGAGCTACGCGTTTGCAGACTTCGGAAGCATCTACATCCTTGAAGGGATGTTTGACAAACGCGTAGTATGCACCTTGACTGCCTATATGCCATCTTCTTGGAACAGCGTTTTTGAACAAAACGTGGCGTGCTTGAACAGCGAGGGCGGACGCTCGGACGAACGGCCGCAATGAAGGAAGTAAAGGGGCGAGAGCCCGTTGTGCAGGACGAGGAGCACATATTTGCGTGTTATCGAGTGCAGTGTTGAGCGCAGGGCCGATAGAGGGAGATGAGACAATGAGACCCAGACGATGTCCAGGTATGCAGTATGATTTGGAGAACGAGAAGAGATGGATAAGGGTTTGACGCCAACTCCATGACTGAGGCAGCGAAGACGTATGGCTGGTCGTGAAAAGGCGATGCGGCGGTCCGTCGATGATGAAGTCGCGGTATGTTTCATCTATGATCAGAGGCAGCTGGTGTTCGTAGGCTAATGCTGCAAACGAGTCAATGAGCTCAGGTGTGTATATGGCGCCAGTCTATAAGGTTTCGCGTTGAGGAAGCTTCACATGATTGCTAGAAAATGATACCGACTCACGGGATTGTTTGGAGTGACAAGCACAATAGCTCGAGTGGCTGGGGTGATCAATTTGGCGCATTCGATTACGGATGGCTGAAATCCGTCCTGAGGAGAGGTCACCAGCCTGATAGGCTTCATACCAAGCATTGTAAGTGTCATTCTGCGTTATGATGTTAATCATCTGTTCCCTGTAAAGGGAGGAGGAAGGCCTTACTCATGATTGAAATACCAAGGTACTGGTAGGATAACCTCGTCGCCTTTACTCGCCACCGTCATCGCTGCGGCTGCGAAAGCGAGATTGCAGCCCGCGGTAACAGAGACATCCTCTCTGGAGACATCGGCCCCGGGTCCATAAATGGTCTTCATCTCGTCCACCACGGCATCACGGAGCAACGGCTCCCCAGCATTTGCAGTATAACCACAACTGCTAGGATCAGAGCTAGCAATCGCGATGGCGTCGAGGAGAGTTTTGGGCGGTGGTATACCAGGCACTCCCTGCGACATATCTAATAGCGGTCGTTCAGGAGTGGCCTTGTAACCTTCAGACCATTGGTACGCTTGCGGTATTCTAGGGTCGAGGATGATTAATATTTGCGACTTTGCTAACTGACGGTTGTATAACCACATACGGTGGACGACTAGTAGTCTCAATCGAATGAGATAGATGAAAGGCTACAGTCGACATCGGACTCCTTGCAAACTCTCGCGAGTACTGTACAGGAGTAGGCCGCAGCGGGAAAGATAACGCGCGGTGGTGGTACACGGTCAAGCGTGGGAAGTACACAGATCGACACATGAACAGAGACTCAATTTTAAGTCGAGGTGTAGAGAGTAGAGTCAAATTTATCTTGTTAATTGCTGACGAATCGCCAACGTCACATTGCATGCGGGAGGAAAGCTTAGAGGAGGAGGGAGAGGACTTCAGGCCTGCCAGTGCAGGCCCTGCCTCAACGGGCAGCCGAGAAGCCGGAACCGGCGTCCAACGCCAACTCGGACATACTTACAGCTCTCAATCGTTACCCTCATCGCGCCGCCTCCGTGCATAAATTCTTGCGTTCTTCATGCTCGCCTGAGATCTAAAAGTTCCAATATATTGTGAGTCTCCTGCTGAATCCTAGAAATGTTATTGACGGAAAATATCACAGTTTGCGTTTTATTGAGCGCTGTCATGCCGATATGTACTAGTTGCACGCATATTACCCCGTTCCTTTATACGGTGTATAATTCCGCAGACAATCTTCGTCTGGAGCAATGTGTGAGTGCGTCAATAGAGGGTCGCGTGATGGCATGCTGACTGGCTCACAGAGCGAGTGCCATGCTTTTGCAGACCCATATGTAGAGCACGATACGCTGACACTCTGGATTGATTTGATATTACTGAAACGTGATGTGTACCGCCATCTTCTGTACAACCGTGGCTCTGGTGCAAGAATACTCACTGAGAAGGGCTTAAAGCACGGAAGCTTTCCAGCCGCTACGTTGGACGCAGGAGAAGATGCACAGGGTGTCATTGGCACAGCCCGACGCCCGGCAGTGCCGTCACCAGCTCCCTCATCACGAGAGTTGGTATGTATTCGCTGTGTCAGCACAACAAATAATCCTCATCCAGTCCCTAGGATCGGTGGATGCACATTCTCAAGCTCGGGAGTGCGCTTATCGCTGTCGACGCATGTTCGTAACATCCTTCTTGGCGTGTGATGGCGATACTAAATTGCCTGCGTCTCTTTCAAGTTATTCGCTGGACACATCTCAGTAAGCCGCTTAATTGGATTGCTCTACGCGCCCGATTACTCATGCTTATACAACAAGGTTCTAGCTTGACACCTGACGGGGTGTATACCGACGTATTGAAGTGGAATCAAGACGCCGTTGAGGGTTTCTTACGAATCCTAGTCGGCTGTCTCGTTGGTTGGTGTAGACTCCTGGCTGACTTCGTAAATCTCGGACGCTGATTATTGTTGCAGAGACTGTAGGTTTCCATGCGGGTGTTATGCTCTCCAGCTTCGTGGTACTACATGCGCTCGACTGGATACGCTCCGCTGTCTTCCAAAAGCCGCCATCACGGTCCGGAATCCGCCTGGAGTTTAGGTTCGTACACCGGTTGATTGCATTCTCTTCTGAGTAGAAGCGTGTTGCTTGTGCTGACGATTTTCTCGTGACTAGATACTCGCATATACCACTGACAATATTCTATTCTTCTCTCAACAAGCTCTTCCTTTTGTTCCTTCTGACTATATGGCGCCCAGCGTCTGCGTCTCCTGTCACCTCTCGACGCCCACTGCCCCCGCAATACAATGCAAGTAATCTCTTCACCAATACCGTGATTGTGGGAGCGATCGAGGCATTGAGTGATGACAACCTTGATCGCGAATGGATAGTGCGAAACGTGCTGGGGGGCATGGCTGCCGGCTTTGGATTGCGCGGTAAGTACAGATTTTCGGAAGTAGGTAGAGAGAGTAGGACTGATATTGTGGCAGTTGTTTTGGATTGTCATCCCCTGTTCACAACGATGGTCGTGCTGGCTGGCTGGGCAGTGAAGACTGCTTTGGCTAACCTAGTCTTCACCTGGGTTGGAGCGGGAATGGCAGGAAATGAACGAGTAGCGAGCGAGATGTGGCTGGCATATAGCATACCCTAACGTACTTGGCCTGATGAGCTGGAGTAGAGCGTAGCCTTGCACACAACTAGTATGGGACTCGCAGCACTGGCAGTTGCGTCTCACTCGCATATCTCGCGTACTTTATATCTCGAAGCTCTCCCACAAATCCACCCCCTTTTGCTACGCCCTCTTAAACGACTGCAGTCGCATGATTTGATGCGCACCGTGTGAAACTATACGCCTAAAGAAAAATGAACCCCGCCAGAGTTGAACTGACGACCTTATGGAAACACGATTACCCAAGCAATCACTGGAATCATACGCTCTACCACTGAGCTAGGGGTCCAGGCGGAGTAAGCATGCTTACGGCGCCCCATGATATACTCATCAGACATCGCTCGACTGACCGTGACGTTGGGGCGGGACAGTTCAGCAACACCTTGGTCCTTGTCCGGCTCAGCCTTACAACATTGTTCTGTGGGACGCGCCTTTCGAAATTATGGTCAGAGTCACAGTATCCTCTCCTCGTGGTACACCATTAGCACCAGGCCTTCCGTATGTCGTCGAAATACCTAGCAAAACACCGGTCACCGCAACAATAGCAGACGTGAAGAACGCTTTCGCGTCGAAATACCCCAAGGTATGTTGCTCCTGATACTTAGTTGGGTTCAGCTGATCTTTCCCTTAGTTTTACACGTCGAGACAAAAGCTGAGCACAAAAGCAGACAAGAAAGGGCTGTCTGACGAGACTACGTTGGCCACCGCCGGCGTGACAGATGGAGGTGAACTGGTGGTGAAGGACTTGGGTCCTCAGATCAGTTGGACTACAGTATTTGTTATTGAATATGCACGTAACGCTTGGTCTCCCAAGATGATCTTTACTCAAATTATCATCAATAGATAGGTCCACTCATCGTACATCCTTTGATGTATTACCTTCCTGCTATCTTTTACGGAGGGCCAGTTCAACACAGCATGCTTCAAAAGTACGTTATCAGTCAATTGATAGAACAGTTCGACCTAACTTGTCCTTAGGTTTGTATACGCTCAAGTCATGCTGCATTTCCTGAAGCGCGAATTCGAGACACTTTTCGTTCACCGCTTCTCTCATGGAACTATGCCATTCGCGTACATTTTCCGCAAGTACGTATCTAATAGCATGGTCGCAGTCTCAATCTCATACCAACTGCAGTTCATTCCACTATCACGTATTTGGCGGAGTTCTCTTAGCCTACGCTATCTACAGCCCGACGTACGGTATATCTTCTCCGTATATCCAGGGCACGATTCGAGATGACCCGCGTTTCCTATGGGCATGTACTGCAGTTTGGCTGGTATGTTTCTTATGGGTCTTCACCCTGCTATGATCCTTGACGCAATTCTCTTAGTGGGCTGAACTGTCAAATGGCCTGACACACTTGACTCTCCGAAACTTGAGGCCCGCAGGTACCAAGCAGCGCGCTATTCCGTACGGGTATGGCTTCAACCTTGTCTCTTGCCCCAATTACACCTTCGAGATCATCGGCTGGACTGTGATGTCTATCATGACGGGTAGCTACGCCGGTGAGTTTTGTGGTCAATCTTCACGGTAAGATGTCAACTCAAATAAACCATAGCCTGGTTCTTTTTGTTTGCAGGAAGCTATTTTATGTGGATGTGGGCTGTCAAAAAGCACAGGAACTACAGGAAGGAGTTTGGCGACAGATATCCGAAGAGGAATGTCATCATTCCGTTCATTTACTAAGCTGTAGCTTAGATGCTAGAGTTACCGTCTTATACTGATAAACCTCTGCGAATAAGCTCTTTGGCCCCCGATTGAATTATATTGCTTGCCAAACTAGAGACATTGAACACTCGATGTAAGAGGTGAGCTGATCGAGCAACCTCGATCAGCAATGAGCGCTTATAATGGAAGGGTAATCTACTCTTCATCCGAGTTGTTGTGCACGCCTTAAGTCTTACAGCAACAGACGACGTACAACACGAATAGCCATGGCACAAGCGTCCTCTTCTTCGCGAGCTCTGAACGCTATACTACCCCTGATACAGTCTGGACAAGGTTACGAAGCACATCAGAAAGCCAGGACCTTTGCTTCCCGTTACCAGAAGTCAGGACAGTACGATACTGCCATTGACGTCTTATTTCAATCTGCCAGAGAGCTGTTCAAGATAGGCCAGCAAGGCAGTGGCACAGACCTTACAGTGTTTATGCTGGATGTATACGACAACAAGGGAGAAAAGGTGGACAGCGAGAGCCGTGGTATGTCTCTAGACTCTCTACAGTGCTCCTCGTTCTGTCGGCTGACCGCATGGCTCGCAATGTGTAGGTCGGTTGACTCAGCTCATAGCCTTGGCTGGCTCCTCTGGCTCTTGGCGCAAAACTATCATTGACAAAGTCATCGCGTATGTCCCACTCTCCGCTTTGTGTCTAAATTATCCTGACACCGGCGTAGCTGGTCTGCGAGATCTGGATCCTGTCCTTCCGGAGACCCGGATCTACACCATTATGTCGCAGATATATTATATAAAGGTATGAGCGATCAACTTTAGCGTCTGACTATATCTTACGACTGTCATATTAGAGGGTGCATTTGAAACCGCCGAGCTGCATTATCTAGCAGCCGGAACACGAGATAGTGCAAGAACCCTGGCTCAAATGTATGTCGAGTGGTCATCAACAGGCGGTGCACCGGGGGCATTTGCTCTCCGTGGAACGATTCCGTAAGTGAACGCTGCCAGTCCAGCCCAATTGTAGAGGGTCACATTCTCTGGCTGTGAACCATTGGTTCCCTGTATGGTATACAGCTCCTTGGCGGATCGCTTGGCTGTTCATCTCGTCTCCCTCAACTTCTCTCGCTTCGGGATGCATGGACTGATGCTCTCTTTTCCGACAGATACCTGCAAAACGGGAACATTCTTGCGGCGCGTGCCTTCATCACGCATCTCGTCTCCCAATTCACCGTATCACGCCCGAAATTCGTGTCATCTATCCAATCCTCGCCAATCGCCATCGAAAACACGACCTTTGGCACAGCGGACGAGATAGTCTTCACCACAGACCCTTTGGTAAACTTTGCACAACTCGCCGTACGCACGTGTCAGCGTTCTCAGGGTGATAAGAATAAGACCATGCGAGAGGCGTGGATACGTCTCTGTGGGAGTTACCAAGGCAAAGGTGGCCTTCTAGCCGTAAAGGAAGTGCGAACGGTATGTCTTCATATGGAGCCCATTCCTCTCTTTTCTCCTTTCGAAGCCTGCGATGCACACAGGCGCCTCGGGCCAGGCGCATGTGGAGCATTGGTACGATATCTGATCGTACACTAATTCATGCCCTTTGTTCTACTAGGCATTGAATGACATCTCGGAGCTCTATTTCGCTATCCCGCCGCCTCGCGCTCAACAGGGAAACCCCATGGCCGATATGCTATCAGCAATGCTCGGCGGCGGTCCACCTACGAGGGCGGCGGCGCCGAAAAGAGTGCTAGCGCCAGCACCTGCAAGCGGTGCGCCGGGTCTTGATTAATCTTTCGAGAGGGTTGGTAGACGTGTTCAGCTACTTGTAATAAGACTCTTGTAGTCGTCGACGTCACCCACTGTACTGTAGCATGCGTAATCAAACATCCAATGCACACACGAACATCGGATGCGGCGATGAAAATAGATGATACAAACAATCGCCCCAAACCGAAGCCGTGCCGTAAAGCACCAATAAGACCTAAGTTTGAATTGAGGAAGCGCTCCTAAGTAGTGGCTCGTCTTCGATAAGGCTGCTACGATCACACTCGGTGGGTATGGTGTGCGTTACCTCCCAAGATCACAATTGTTCCAAACTCCGGAAGGAAGCGCTCGGAGGCTAAGCCCCAATTTTCCGTAGGATCGGCGACTGTTGGAGACTGGGAGTAGGACCGTTAGTGTCTCCATTGATTATGTCCTGAATAGATGCTTCTAACGCGTCGACGCGCGTGGACATTTGCTCCACTACCAGTGAGACAAAGTACGTTAACGACGGTGCTGATGATAAAACATCAGGATGTTCGAAAACTCACTGCGATCGAGGATTTGGGTAGACATGTCGTCGAATTTGGCATCTAATTGCTCCAATAGCGTTTCGACCTAGAAGTGCAGTCAGCGGTGTCGCTGCCTTTGGAATACTGGATTCTACTAACAAACGCGGTGAGCTCGTGCGGACTCGAGATGTCTGATGTGTTCACAGTGTGCTTGGAGGTACTCGTTGCCGGTATAGCTGCTCTTTTAGTTGACGCAGGGCTGGCTGTTGCCTTGTATGGCGTTCCAGCTGATGTTACATTCAGGGGAAGAGCTGCAGATGCGGGCGGCGGCATGGTTACTGTGGATAGCGTCTACTGAGCTATCAGTAAGATTATGAGTCATACACCAAGAAACTCTTACAAGAAAGTGAGCACAGGGTACAAGACCAGTCAGCTCAAGATGGGACAGTGGCAGAGGTGGCGGTAAGAAACATCATTCCAAATCCGGACATGCTGGGGCTAAGCCATTCAATCTCAGATCGACCGTTTCTGTCGGATCATTCCGGTGGCTTGCCCGACCGTTACGCTTGCCTTTTAGAGCTAACAGCTTTCGCTCACCACCTCGACAACCTGCAGAAAATCAGGACTCGCTCACTGGCGCGAGGCTTAAGCATGTTTACGGCCAACAAGACATCTTCAAACCCAGCAGGAGAATCTAACCATGTTTCATCCGGTCCGCAACCAGCGCTATAGCAGCGTCAGCACGTTAGGTTAGGTGAGCAGTACTATCCAGTGGTGCTTTGCACATAAGGAATCGAACCACTTTACGCTGATCTGTAAGGCTCATCCAGGCAGCTGCGAATGTCACAGATCACAGCTAGAGCGCAGTGCTCATTCAATAACTGAATGGCGCTTAGGTCTAGACTGGCACGCGGCCCCCCCATTCCGCCTTCGAATCCTACACAACACAATGGTCTGCAGAATCCAAACCCGACTGCGCTCCAGATATCACTCGGACGTTTTGAAACATACTCAGTCAGCTTAGAAGAAAGGGCGGAGAGTTCTACGCCACAGCACGACAGGACAGCAAGGTTGAGCGTGAGTCGCTTTGTCCTACAAAGTCAGCATTAACCATCGGATAGGTGGGTCATTCTTTACAGCGCAAATGGTACCATCCATATTTTGACCCAAGCACGCCCAGATTCTAGACACATGACAACTACCACTCAGTTCGAAGTCAGCCCACCAATGCAATGAGGAACGCTCTGGACGGCTTATCTTCACGCACAGCGGAATGAAATTACTTCCGGAACTGCGATGCGAACGGAACGCGACATTCGCACAGAGACATGTTGGCTCA